TGTTGATAATGCCTCTGACTACCCTACACGGGGTTACAGTCGTAATATTTTCAACATTTAATAACAAGGGGGTAGTTTTCATTGGGGGTAACTAATAAGCGGCCTATCATACAAGCGGGGCGTACTCAGGGTGGGGGTAAATATATATTTAAACTAGCTAAACTCAACTTTGCATCACACTTGATATTTATCATTACATTTCACTACATATCTTTTCAAATTATAGCCTATATGAAAGCTATATAACTTTAAAATTCCATCAAAATCCATACAGTAATTTTTGCGTGAGAGTAACAAACGTCCATTCGTTCATAATCACAAACTTTTATAATAAGTATTAGTGAGATATTTTAAAATGCTCTATTCATACTTTATTTATGTGACTGACATTTATTTCAAAAAAGGATTGTGGAATTTTGTTTTCATATCTACATTTTGTTTCTCTGTGTACCCGTTTTAGCATCATCTATATTCCAGTTCGAGTATAACCTTTGCAGGTCACTCTATTCTCCCAAATTTGAATTTCAATGAATCTGTATTATTGTAAACATGTACAACATTTATTTGAAAAGAACACGAGCTGAGTTTCTTGTCAGTTCTCATCTCGATTTCACTCCGAACTGACGGTAGATTTGACATATCATAAGTCTGTATTAGACCTACATGAATACAGATATTTTGAATTGAATTATTAACTTTGTAGAATCTATATTTTAATAGCTAAATATTTACAGCAAGCTGCCCCCGCTGCCCCTGAGTGCGGCCCTGTCGCTTTAACTCGAATACCATAGACTATACAACGTGTCTCAACGACAAACTCAACAGATAAACACTCTATTCAAAGCTTTATTAATACTTAAAGATTTGTTTATAAAAACTGAAATATATAAACCCAGTTAACTTGAACAATAGTTCTAGCGGTAGCACACCATTTTACTTCCGATAGTCGCATGTTCTATTCCTTGCACGATACAAACATTTGTACTCATGAGTATGATTGTTTGTATCGGTCTGGATATTTTATATATATTTACTGTTTACTTATGGGCAACTAGCAGATCAGGCCACGCGTTGCTGTGTCTAAGGTTCTTGAATAAAATAATATTGCAACTATAACTTGAGATGTAAGCTATCCTATCTTTCAAGTTGGATCAAATTGCACACAATGTACAAATCAAATTTGCAATCGGTTCAGTAGTTTAGGAGTCCATCGCGGACAAACATGTCACGTTGTAATTTATATTTATAAGGATTAAATATATTATCATAATTATAAATAAATAACCCTGGACAATTAACACAGCGCCATCTAGTCCCACAGTAAACAGAGCTTGTGTTATGGGTACTAGACAACTGATATAAATAAATAAATAACCCTGGACAATTAACACAGCGCCATCTAGTTCCACGGTAAGCAGAGCTTGTGTTATGGGTACTAGATAATTGATATAAATACTTCAGTTTTCTTGCAAATACATACATATTATACATAGATAACACCCAGTGATACAAACAATCATACTCGTGAGTACAAATGTACCGTGCAAGATTCTATCACCGTCGGCCGTCATAGTTTTGATGAATAAATAGTTTTTTTAATTTGCAAAATATATTTATTTATAAAGTTACAAGAAATGCTATTTATGATAATGTAACGGTGCACCCGCCTGCGCTAACGGTATACGCTGGCGGGGCACCAGTGGAGGATGATAAGAACATGAGGTCAGGTCAGTTAGCACATCGTGACAAATTCACCAAGAATTTACATGGTATTTGATATTTTGATATTTATTTATTCAGTAACAATTTATATTGTGTTTGAAATTATACAATTTTTGCTGTTAAGAAATTCATCAACACTGTAAAATGATTGCTCCAACAGAAAACAACGCAACCTCCTCCTAAAAAGCTTCCAATTATGTATTTTCTTTAAACTATTGGGCAAAGAGTTGTAAAGCCTTACTGCTTGGAAACCCTCACCATGCTTCACAATATTAAGGGTAGGTTTTATAATGTTAGGGTAATCCATTCTGCGAGTATTTTCTCTTATGTCTCGATTCTCCCTGGTCTCACTACCAACAATACTTTTTACAAAATCTGTTAATAGCACCAATATGTATAAGCATGGTACAGTCAAAATTCTGTATTCTTTAAAATATTGCTTACAGGATTGCACTTGTGGTATACGGACAATAGTCCTAATAGCTCTTTTTTGTAATATAAACGCCTTATTTATATTGTATTTATAACTATTGCCCCAGAACTTTATACTATATCTAAGTTTTGATTCCACTAGAGCATAATAAACAGTCTTCAACTGAATATACATTGCTAGCAATGAGGTTATCTGGTCACATTACTAACAACCTAGTTAGTAATGTGACCGATTTAGTAATTAGTTGAACTGGGTTTATATATTTTAGTTATTGTAAACAAATATATATATATAACTAAATAATAAATTTGGTATCTTCACAAATATAGACGTACAGTCAAACAACGGTGGTTACTGTTATATAATTAACTATTCTTCCGTTGATGTTAACATTATTAATCCTTTCCATATCTTTAATATTACGAATTGACTATTTTATACATAATTTTCTTTCTTTACACAAACTATACATGTTTTAGCATCTGAGTTTGCCTGAGTGTTCACTAGAGATGTGATATTTTACTTTAAAAAAACCGATAATAAATTATTTTTCTTAGCATAAACATCGGTTAATATATAATCGGTTTTTACAGGATAAATATCGATTAACAAACATGTCGTCGATTAAATAGAAAAATGTAATTTTTCAAAATTAGAAGCTAGAATTATCTCCTTGTATATAAGTCAATTAAATTAACCACGCCGCCATCTTAATCATTATCTAAATACTTTTAAAATGATATACAATACTTGTGTGTAATTTAAAACTTTTAAAATAATTTAAATAAATAAAAATTCAATTCAATTCAAACGGGGATCGAACCCTTAGCCCCAGAACCCCGAGGTTCGTGCCCACAGACTAGCGACTTATCCGTCAGGCGGGAGTTGTCCTTCAGCCGCTTCATAAGTCCTTCCATTGGTTTGGAGTGTCATCTGCACTCGCCCCCTAACGTCCGGTGAAGCTGTAAAGGCCAGCTGCGGACAACAGCGTTAGAGTAGACCGAAAAAAATAAACTATAATATAACTATATATACTATAACTAAATAATTTCATATTGATCGTATGAAACAAAACTTTTATGAAACTAAAAACAACTTTTAAATCGATATTTCATAATCGAATATTTCACATCCCTAGTGTTCACTTAACGTTTTATTCAGTATAAGACTAAGTTTCAATGATATTTCATACTTGGAACCCTAGTCATTTCTCGATTAGGACCCCAAATATGTTTAGTCGAACTATTTTAGTTTCCTCACTGAGAACCCTAGTATTACTTAGGGGCCGTTTAAGTGGTACCACAAGTGGTACTACACTTCCACTCAGGTGGGGAAGTTTAGATGATGATCACGTCATTGGTAGTTTACTTTTTTTTATATGAATGGCAACCCCCACATTGGGGAGACGGTAAGTACTTTGCTTACTTTTGCTGACAAGGGGGATGGGGGGTAAATAATTGTAATAAATCTGCTTACATAATACTTGAACGGCCCCAATAATATTAAGTCATCTCATATTGAGGCTTCTAGAAACTTCAGTTATTTCTCGTTAAAGTTTCTAATTTTATTTTTTTAAATTTGTTAGTTTTAAACTCTAGAATTTTCTTACTAACGACCTTAATCTTTTTTAAAGGGGATCCTATATTTTTTTTGATGTAACTCTTACTCATTTCTAGTTAACCTCTCTAGAAAATAAATACTGAACTTTTAAATTTGAATATACAATGATGTTTTAGTATGGACTCTTAGGGCTTATAACATTATTTAAATTACTAACCTGGTTATTAGTTCGTGTTAAGACCCGGTTAATAATATAAATAATTAATATTAAACACGAAAGTTATAAATAATTAGGGCTCATAATTCTCATTTTGTACTCAAATGATTCAACGAGTTCATTCGGTTGACGGTTTCTAATTAAACTTATTTTTGTCAAAAATACACATGCCTGCCTACTGTGCAGTACACAATTGTCGACATATGCAATTTCACCTCATTATATATATTTTAGTAACAAAAATCAGTGTTCGAGCAGCATTCAACCTTGGCGGTTCTATTAAGCAAAAACTCCTCATCAACTAATATCATTATCACACAACTGTGGACAGCAGTGCTCCGCCTCGTGTCCGCGTCCTGTATAGTGCCGAGGCTGAGAGTACCACATCGGCGAGTGCGCGTTGCTGTCCAGCCCAATGAGGACTCTCCTTCCGCGGAGTGTGGTGGTGCAGGTGGCGGTCAAATCAATATATCATTATCACGGAACTGTGGACTTAAACCACCGCACTGGTCTCTGTGTTCTCACAAATTTCGTTTAATCATGATTTATTTTTTGTAATCATGTACTTGTTTGAAAAGAATAAGAGCTGAGTTTCTCGTTTAGAACTACATTCCGAAATGATTGTAGACTCGACTTAACATAAGTGTCTGTAATAGACCTACATGAATATTGATATTTTGATTTGATTTGAGGATCTTAACACTTTCTGAGACCCTAAGACTTGTTGAGAATTTTTTCTTGAGACTCTAACACTTGCTGAGAATTTTTATTGAGACCCTAACACTTGTTGAGAATAATTATTGATACTAATACTTGCTGAGAATATTTTCTTGAAACTCTAACATTTGCTGAGAATTTTTATTGAGACCCTAACACTTGTTGAGAATAATTATTGAGACTAATACTTGCTGAGAATATTTTCTTGAGACTCGTAACACTTGCTGAGAATTTTTCTTGAGACTCTCAATACTTGCTGAGAATATTTTCTTGAGACTCGTAACACTTGCTGAGAATTTTTCTTGAGACTCTCAATACTTGCTGAGAATATTTTCTTGAGACTCGTAACACTTGCTGAAAATTTTTCTTGAGACTCTCAATACTTGCAGACAATATTTTCTTAACACCTTAACAATTGTTGAGAACCGTAGCACTTGTTGAGATTTTTTTTCTTATGACCTTAACACTTGCTGAGAATTTTTTCTTGAGACCCTAACACTTGCTGAGAATATTATTGTACATATCAATCAAATATTCCTCAATCCATTATCTATATACATGATAAATTGCTCAATAACTTGAGATATTTCTCACTGCAAACCCTAACATATCTCGCTGAGAATGGAGACGTCTTGATATGGAGCTGCCGATTGCTTGAGACCCTAGAGATCAGTCTCGGACGCTTCTGTCTCTAGCCAGTGTCGCTCGCGGCGTCTCCTACGGCTCGACTCACTCTATAAGAAAGAAAATATATATTAATTAGCTGTCCCGGCAAACTTATATATATTTGCTGAGCAAGGCCTATTACTCACTAAACGATTACTTGAATGACGAGCGTGCATGGCAATAGTTTTCATGTTCGGGATTTTTATTTAATGTTAGACATAGACACCTATATAACTGCATTGTAAATAAACTGGATTTAAAAAAAAAGTAATTCAATTGAGTTTCTTGCCAGCTCTTCTCAATTGGATACCGAACTGGGCGGTAGGGAAAAAAATACAATGTAAAATCTTGACGTTCATAAGCGGCTAAAATGTCCTACTATATATATAATATATTTCAAATGCATTTTTTGCCATAAAATAAAAAAAAATTAGGAGTAACCCCATAACATTTAGGGAGATGAAAAATAGATGTTGGCCGATTCTCAGACCTACTCAATACGCTTACAAAATTTAATGAGAATCGGTTAAGCCGTTTCGGAGGAGTATGGGAACGAAAACTGTGACATGAGAATTTTATATATAAGACTTCCAAATAGCCATGGGCGGATCGTGGATTTGTGGGGCCCTGGGCTAAATCTACTTAGGGTCCTACCTAATTATATTACTCAACTAAAAAGATACACCGACCAAAAACAAGCGACCAGAGATTCCCCGTTCCTTTCGATAGACACGCACTTGCATGGGTTGGTTGATCTCAGGGTTGCCAACCTTATGATTGGTTGTTTAACATTCTAGATATTGTTTTATATTCTAAATATCGTTTCAGTAGGGACTGGGGCCCTTTGTAGCCCTCGGAGCCCTGGGCTGCAACCCAAAAAGCCCCTGTAGCCCAGTTAATATAATTAGTTACTTATTTTGATACACAAGTAATTATTTAGTTACTTTTATATGTATATACACTAGTCACCGGCCGTCATCCCTCACCTTGTGGTCCTTGTGGTGGTCGGTGTCGGAGTCCGGCCGCTGTCTGTCGAGCAGTAGTTCGGTCGGCAGCGACTCGAGCAGTTCGCCGCCGGCTCGGGCGCAGGCGATCTTCTCCCTCGCAGCCAGCACCTCCTGAAATACCGACATATATTTATTACAATCTGTCCCCGTGACTTCATCCGTGTGGAATTTAACTTTATTTTTATAAAATAAAAGTACCCAAGTTACTCCTTATTACATCAGCTACCTGCCAAAAAAAGTCCCGTTAAAATCGGTTCAGCCGTTTCAGAGATTAGCCGGAACAAACAGAGCGACAGACAGACTGACAAAAATTTTAAAAAGTGGTTTTTTGGAGTATGTTCCTTATTTATATTCATATGCATGCAGTAAAAAACGGTTATTTCAATATTACAAACAGACACTCCAATTTTATTTATATGTATAGATTGAGTTAAAAATGTATCAAGGAAACTTAATGTATCACAGATTTTTTTTGCCAAAATTGCCGGAAAAACATTTTTTTATGTCACACATATATGACTGACACGGCCCTATATTAATTTTTTTCTCGACAAGCCATATCAATGTCGTTCATTCATTTCATTTTATTGTTTGTAGTGAGCCAAGAATTTCAGGTTTCGTTCCTGATAGGCCAAGGAACAGCTAGTTATGTAATAAAGTCGCCATAACTCATGTGAATTTTTTTGTAATATTACCGTGCCGATTAACGTGTTAAACGGTAGAGTATATTCACCTGCAACATGACTGCCTCTTCAATCTCGTCCATGCTGAAGTTGCCTAGAGATTTTGGTATGTCTTCCTCGTCGATATCTGCAAAACAAAACATTATCTTAATTATAATCTATACTATAACTTTAATCTATACAGACACTCTAATTTTATTTATATGTATAGATGTATAAGAGTGTCTGTTTGTGATATTGTAATATCCGTTTTTTACTACATGCATATGAATATAAATACGGTACATACAACAAAATAACATTTTTTTACAATTTTTATCTGTCTGTCTGTTTGTTCCGGCTAATCTCTGATTTTGACGGGAGTTTTTTTGGCAGTTTTGATGTAATAAGGAGTAACTTAGGCTACTTTTATTTTAGAAACATAAAGTTAAATTTCACGCGGACACGGGTACAGCTAGTAATATTATAAAAGTGAAAGTATGTTTGTTACGCTTTCACGCAAAAACTACTGAACTGATCATCAGGAAATTTTGTACACATGTTCTTGGAGGTATTATAATGAACATAGGATCCTTATTAAAAAAAAAAAACAAATATTTTTTATATATAAATAAACAAAATAATGAAAAAGCGGCCAGTAATCAAGTTATACGAGCGCAGCCGCGGGTAAAAGCTGGTAATATTATAATCGCGAAAGTTTGTAAGTGTGTCTGTGTGTGTGTGTGTGTGTGTGCACGTACCGTGGTACGAGTACAGTCTGGGCGGCGGGTGGTGCGCCCGCAGTGCTGCGGTGGCTGTGTGTCTGTCTGTGTGTGTGTGTGTGTGTGTGTGTGTGTGTGTGTGTACGTACCGTGGTACGAGTACAGTCTGGGCGGCGGGTGGTGCGCCCGCAGTGCTGCGGTGGCTGTGTGTGTGTGTGTGTGTGTACGTACCGTGGTGTGTGTGTGTGTGTGTGTGTGTGGGCGGCGGGTGGTGCGCCCGCAGTGCTGCGGTGGCTGTGTGTCTGTCTGTGTGTGTGTGTGTGTGTGTGTGTGTGTGTGTGTGTGTGTGTGTGTGTGTGTGTACGTACCGTGGTACGAGTACAGTCTGGGCGGCGGGTGGTGCGCCCGCAGTGCTGCGGTGGCTGTGTGTGTGTGTGTGTGTGTGTACGTACCGTGGTACGAGTACAGTCTGGGCGGCGGGTGGTGCGCCCGCAGTGCTGCGGTGGCTGTGTGTGTGTGTGTGTGTGTACGTACCGTGGTACGAGTACAGTCTGGGCGGCGGGTGGTGCGCCCGCAGTGCTGCGGTGTGTGTGTGTGTGTGTGTGTGTGTACGTACCGTGGTACGAGTACAGTCTGGGCGGCGGGTGGTGCGCCCGCAGTGCTGCGGTGGCTGTGTGTGTGTGTGTGTGTGTGTACGTACCGTGGTACGAGTACAGTCTGGGCGGCGGGTGGTGCGCCCCTGTGGTACGAGTACAGTCTGGGCGGCGGGTGGTGCGCCCGCAGTGCTGCGGTGGCTGTGTGTGTGTGTGTGTGTGTGTGTGTACGTACCGTGGTACGAGTACAGTCGCGGGGGGGCGTGTGTTGTGTGTGTGTGTGTGTGTGCGTGTGTCTGTGTGTGGTGCTGCGGTGGCTGTGTGTGTGTGTGTGTGTGTACGTACCGTGGTACGAGTACAGTCTGGGCGGCGGGTGGTGCGCCCGCAGTGCTGCGGTGGCTGTGTGTGTGTGTGTGTGTGTACGTACCGTGGTACGAGTACAGTCTGGGCGGCGGGTGGTGCGCCCGCAGTGCTGCGGTGGCTGTGTGTGTGTGTGTGTGTGTGTACGTACCGTGGTACGAGTACAGTCTGGGCGGCGGGTGGTGCGCCCGCAGTGCTGCGGTGGCTGTGTGTGTGTGTGTGTGTGTGTACGTACCGTGGTACGAGTACAGTCTGGGCGGCGGGTGGTGCGCCCGCAGTGCTGCGTGTGTGTGTGTGTGTGTGTGTGTGTGTGTGTGTGTGTGTGTGTGTGTGTGTGTGTGTGTGTGTGTGTGTGTGTGCGCTCCTCCTGTGTGTGTGTGTGTGTGTACGAGTAGTCTGGGCGGCGCAGTGGTGGTGCTGTGGTGGCTGTGTGTGTGTGTGTGTGTGTGTACGTACCGTGGTACGAGTACAGTCTGGGCGGCGGGTGGTGCGCCCGCAGTGCTGCGGTGGCTGTGTGTGTGTGTGTGTGTGTACGTACCGTGGTACGAGTACAGTCTGGGCGGCGGGTGGTGCGCCCGCAGTGCTGCGGTGGCTGCCTTGAGTGCGGCCGCGTGTGCCCTCAGCCGCGCCTCCTGTGGCGGCCCCCACGCGGACGACGCGCACCTGACAACCAGTGTGTACTCCTTGAATATACTCATCCACGGACTCCCACCATATACGATACAAACAATCATACTCCATACCCGTAAGTGTAAATGTTTGTAGCGTGCTATAAATCTAATCCGCAACCACTAGAAGTAAGACGATATATTAAAAATATTCCCTCCCATCGATTCCCCGTCCAATTCAAACGGGTATCGAAATTACGATGGCCTGAGACGAAGTTCGAACCTCAGACTGTCGTCGTATCCGTCAGGCGGGAGTTGTCCTTCAGCCGCTCCATAAGTCCTTCCTTTGGTTTGGAGTGCCATCTACACTCGCCCCCTATCGTCCGGTGAAGCTGTAAAGGTTGCATATGGGGCCCCATCTGATAGTAAACGGTTACCATATCCACTCCTAAAACTATAATACTGACTGTGTCTGCTGGTGCTGATGCTGCAGCCAGGGTCCGGGGGAGAGCAGCGGCTCCCCAATGGTGGCCGGTTGCTCCTCATCTAACCGCTGCAGAAGCTGCCCAGCTACCAGCTCCGCTGCTTCACGCTGGAGACGACAATATCAAAATTGTACATATAGGCTACACAACTCCATATGAAATGAAATGAAAATGTTTATTTTGCGCAGAATGTGCACAGATGGGTACATATGGTTCCATACAATTCGCCTACATATATGAATAATAATAATAATCTCAGGACAATTCACACAGCGCCATCTAGACCCAAGTTAAGCTAGCTAAAGCTTGTGTTATGGGTACTAGACAACTGATACAAATATATAGATTTTTTTCATAAATACATACATATTATACAGAGAAAACACCCAGACCGATACAAATAATCATACTCATGAATACAAATGTTTGTGCCGTGCGAGGAATCGAACCCGCGACCATCGGACTCAAAGCGGTGTGCTAGATCGTTAGACCACCGAGGTCGTCATATGAAGACATGCAAAATTTTATATTAGTACTAGCTGTCCCGGCAAACGTTGTTTTGCCTTAAAATAAAAAAAAATTAGGGGTGGACTACCCCTAACATTTAGGGGGATGAAAAATAGATGTTGGCCGATTCTCAGACCTACTTAATACGCTCACAAAATTTCATGAGAATCGGTCAAGCCGTTTCGGAGGAGTATGGGAACGAAAACTGTGACAAGAATTTTCTATATAAGATATATTATCTTTCAGATAGCATATTACATTATTACATTACTAGCTACTCGCCCCGGCTTCGCACGGGTGTACATGTATTATTCATATAAACCTTCCTCTAGAATCACTCTATCTATTAAAATAACCGCTTCAAAATCCGTTGCGTAGTTTTAAAGATTTAAGCATACATAGGGACGGACAGACAGCGACTTTAATATATTGTTAGTTATTAAACACTAGATGGCGTTATTGAAAATATTTGTAATGAAATGTATGGGACACAGTCACCTAGATACATAAAATAATAATTGCATTTAATAATGTCTAGTAAGACAAATTCAATATTGTCTACTAGGCACCGCTGTATCTAAACTGTGTCACCCCACCTTACATTTTCCTACTTTTATTTAGTATATAAGATCATTATTTCTATGTACATATTGTCAGTTTATCATCATCTGTAATATACATCGGTCTCGACCAGCAACATCGTATTATTCACCCGCAACAAAATGAAATGAATATTTATTGCTTAAAATGTGGTACATGTGTGGTTTTTAAGGTCTTTAGAAATAGTTTCACACATTTTGTCATTTCTGACACGCAACAGACAAAAGAGATGTCAATTTTGGTTATTATTCGTTAGTCAATATTAAGTACGTACATTATTTATAATATGAGTATGTCAACTTCGTCATTTCGTACCTGTTGCGGGTGAATAATAAGATGTTGCTGGTCGAGACGATGTATATTACTGATGATGATAAACTGACAATATGTACATAGAAATAATGATCTTATATACTAAATAACAATAGGAAAATGTAAGGTGGGGTGACACAGTTTAGATACAGCAGTGCCTAGTAGACAATATTGAATTTGTCTTACTAGACATTATTAAATGCAATTATTATTTTGATGTATCTAGGTGACTGTGTCCCATAGTACCAATAATAATATTTACATTGGTTCATTAGTACTAAACACAAACTACCTTCTTTTAATATCATTTTAAAATATCGGATTTTTTCTACAATATTGTCCGTATAACGTGAACTTTGTTAAAACTTGTTGAAAAAAATGTTCCAATGTTGGTTAATCAACCAGACTTGTGGCGGCGTGGTGGGCCGGGTCATTGGGCTCGTTAAAATATGGTCGAGCGCGGTGATGGCTGGCTCATCCGTCATACTCGTGAACGGATGCTGCTTGTAGGGAGTGGTCTGCTCTAATCACTATGACTGATTTTCTCTTATTAATTGTTTAACCAGTTGGTTATATATTCAATATTTTATCTATTTGTATTCACACACTTAAACTTAAAAATGTAAAGTAATGATAAAATTATTTAAAAGAGCAACACGCAAGTTTCTTGCTCGTTCTTCTTGTGATGAGACAGCTTTCCGAACGAGCGGTAGAATAAAAAATGTAATGACTATTCAAAAGTGCTTCAATGTAAGTTTATTTGAATAAATGATTTTCTCTTCTATTCTATTCTATTTTAATTGCTATAATTATCCAAAAAGTAAAGATCGAAATTAAAACAACAAGTGAGCTCCAACCCACCTCCTGTCCGTGCTCCCCGTGTGCGGTCTCCGCGAGCGCGAGCAGCACGTCGTAGGCCTCCAGGGCGCGGTCCGCGGCGCGTAGGGCTTCGCACAGGGACACGCACGACGACTCCTGCACCGAGCACGCGCTGTACAGCCTGCGGGGACGACACATACACGTGAACACCGGGGCACGGTACGAACGGGCGCTGGGACCCCCGGGGCCCACAGTGTTAGGCCGCAGGCAGCGCTGTACAGCCTGCGGGGAACTATACACGTCAACAACGGGTTTATGGAACAGCTCCGGGACATCCGGGGCCTTCCCCTCGGCCCCCTGTAAGCGTGCAGCCGCAGGCAGCGCGCGCGCCCCCCCCCCCCCCCCCCCCCCCCGCCCCCTCGTACCGGTGCGCGGTGTCCCTGGCGGTGTGCAGCGCGGCGTGCAGCAGGCGGCAGTCGGCGTGCAGCCGCAGGCAGCGCGCGCGCCCCCGCCTCTCACGCCCCTCCCCTGCAGCCTCGTCCCGGTCCGCGGTGTCCCTGGCGGTGTGCAGCGCCCCCCCCCCCCCCCCCCCCCCCCCCCCCCCCGCCCCCTCGTACCGGTGCGCGGTGTCCCTGGCGGTGTGCAGCGCGGCGTGCAGCAGGCGGCAGTCGGCGTGCAGCCGCAGGCAGCGCGCGCGCCCCCCGCCCCCCTCGCCCCCCCCCCCGCCCCCTCGTACCGGTGCGCGGTGTCCCTGGCGGTGTGCAGCGCGGCGTGCAGCAGGCGGCAGTCGGCGTGCAGCCGCAGGCAGCGCGCGCGCCCCCCGGCCGACTGGAGCCCCCCCCCGCCCCCTCGTACCGGTGCGCGGTGTCCCTGGCGGTGTGCAGCGCGGCGTGCAGCAGGCGGCAGTCGGCGTGCAGCCGCAGGCAGCGCGCGCGCGCGCCGCCCCCCCCCCCCCCGGCCCCCCCCCCCGCCCCCTCGTACCGGTGCGCGGTGTCCCTGGCGGTGTGCAGCGCGGCGTGCAGCAGGCGGCAGTCGGCGTGCAGCCGCAGGCAGCGCGCGCGCCCCCCGCCCCCCTCGCCCCCCCCCCGCCCCCTCGTACCGGTGCGCGGTGTCCCTGGCGGTGTGCAGCGCGGCGTGCAGCAGGCGGCAGTCGGCGTGCAGCGCGCGCGCGTGCCGCCCCCTCGTACCGGTGCGCGGTGTCCCTGGCGGTCGCGGCGTGCAGCAGGCCGCGGCGTGCAGCGCGCGCGCCCCCGCCCCCCCCCCCCCCCCCCCGCCCCCTCGTACCGGTGCGCGGTGTCCCTGGCGGTGTGCAGCGCGGCGTGCAGCAGGCGGCAGTCGGCGTGCAGCCGCAGGCAGCGCGCGCGCCAGGCCGCCAGCGCAGCCCCCGCAGCCGCCGGGACCGCCGTGACCCCCGTGACCCCCGGGGCCCCCGTGACCCCCGCAGCTCGCTCCATGTCTCCGTACCACCATGACTGCGCAGCAAACGACAACACTTTTATTAATGTCCTACTACATTTACAATTCATATTGACGGCCTATTCAATGGTCGCGGATCCCCTCGCACCAGTACGTACTCGTCTAGTGGTCGAAATTCAACAATAATCATCTCATAGTATAAAACAAAGTCAGTGTCGCTATCTGTCCGTCCTTATGTTTGCTTAAATCTTTAAAACTACGCAACGGATTTTGAAGCGGTTTTTTTTAATAGATAGTGATTCAAGAGGAAGTTTTATATGTACAATACATGTACACCAGTGCGAATCCGGGGCAAGTAGCTAGTTATCTATAAGTGGGCAAAATTTCATACGTCTCCATTCACGCAATTCTCGTAAAATGGGTAACAAAGTTTTTGCTTCATGTATTTATATATATACTAGCTGACCCGGCAAACGTTGTTTTGCCTTAAAATAATAAAAAAAAATTAGGGGTGGACCCCTAACATTTAGGGGGATGAAAAATAGATGTTGGCCGATTCTCAGACCTACTCAATACGCTCACAAAATTTTATGAGACTCGGTTAAGCCGTTTCGGAGGAGTATGGGAACGAAAACTGTAACACGAGAATTTTATATATAAGATAAAACAATAGGTCCAGACCTCTTCGTCCGCTGGTTCGCTGGACTCCAAGTCCCCAGTCCGTCTCAGCCGGACTCTCGATGCAAGTTTCGCCTGCCTTGACTCGCAGCGACCTTCGTATGACAAAAAAAAAAAATTATCTACACATATAAATAAAATTATAGTGTCTGTTTGTAATATTGAAATAACCGTTTTTTACTACATGCATATGAATACAAATTCGATACATACACCAAACTATTTTCTTTCTGTCTGTCTTGTTTGTTCCGGCTAATCTCTGAAATGGCTTGACAGATATCGCCGGAACTTGTATTGGCAGGTAGATGTAATAAGGAGTAACTTAGGCTACTTTTATTTTAGGGACTTTAAATAAAGTTATATTCCACGCAGACGAAATCGCGGGTACAATATTGATTCCAAAACTCAACATATCGCCTTTGACTTGTATGAAATTTGTAAAATTGTAATGTGCCTACACTCGGCACTCTTCCATTAGTACCTCTCCAGATAACATACATTTAAGTTCAGTGTAATGTCAGTCCACGGTACGATTCTGCGTCGAATGTACGCGTCACTAATAAGCCAAGTAGCACACTATCAAGTAACATAGATTACGAGATTAAAAAACAGAGAATGTGTAGAAAAAAACTATCATTGTTACGAGTATATACGACCTCCTCATCGATTAAGTTTTATTACGAGTAATAGTTTAGTTGTCAAATATACATTGACATTGTTGTAAAAGAAAATAATAAAAAAGGACAATACAATTATTCTGCTGCAAACATACATATATATTATTTATTAGTAAACATATCATCTCAACAAAAAAGAACCCCACCACAACAATGTTTGATGTTCTCGGTGGTCTAGCGGTTTAGCATACCGTTTCATATCCGATGGTCGCGGGTTCTATTCCTCGTACAGTATATAATCATTTGTATTCATGAGTATGATTGTTTGTATTGGTCTGGGTGTTTTCTATGTATATTATGTATGTATTAAAAATATCTAAGTTCAGTTATATCAGTTGTCTAGTACCCATAACACAAGCTCTGCGTACCGTGGGACTAGATGGCGCTGTGTTAATTGTCCAGGGTTATTTATTTATTTATATCAGTTGTCTAGTACCCATAACACAAGCTCTGCTTACCGTGGGACTAGATGGCGCTGTGTTAATTGTCCAGGGTTATTTATTTATTTATATCAGTTGTCTAGTACCCATAACACAAGCTCTGCTTACCGTGGGACTAGATGGCGCTGTGTTAATTGTCCAGGGTTATTTATTTATTTATATAAGTTGTCTAGTACCCATAACACAAGCTCTGCTATCCGTGGGACTAGATGGCGCTGTGTTAATTGTCCAGGGTTATTTATTTATTTATATAAGTTGTCTAGTACCCATAACACAAGCTCTGCTTACCGTGGGACTAGATGGCGCTGTGTTAATTGTCCAGGGTTATTTATTTATTTATATCAGTTGTCTAGTACCCATAACACAAGCTCTGCTTACCGTGGGACTAGATGGCGCTGTGTTAATTGTCCAGGGTTATTTATTTATTTATATCAGTTGTCTAGTACCCATAACACAAGCTCTGCTTACCGTGGCACTAGATGGCGCTGTGTTAATTGTCCAGCGTTATTTATTATTAATTTCAAGACAGTAAAAATCATTCAACGTATTATTCTTCATCTCACATCACACATATACTCCTTGGGTGATGAATACTGACCTGGTGAAGCTGCGAAGAGTTGCGCCTCCGGGGAACCGTGCTCGCGCTCGCAGCTGCTGGCGCTGTGACGTGCACGCTGACAACATCTGTGCATAGGGGGGAAAGGAGATTGTTAGTAATGTGGACTAATGAACCCATTACTAGCAATGTACCATATCAGGTTGACCTCCACGCGGTTCCCCCTGGAAACCATCGTGTTAAATTCCTGGTGAATTTGTCACGATGTGCTAACTGACCTGACCTCATGCTCATATTATCACCCTCCACTGGTGCCCCGCCAGCGTAAACCGTTAGCGCAGGCGGATGCACCATTCCATTATCACATACAAAAAAAAAAAACATCTGTGCATAGGGGGGAAAGGAGATTGTTAGTAATGTGGACTGATGATCTTATTGCTAGCAATGTACCATTGTCAGGTTGACATCCACGCCGTCCCATCTGGAAACCATCATGACAAATTCCTGGTGAATTTGTCACGATGTGCTAACTGGCCTGACCTCATGTTCTTATCATCCTCCACTGGTGCCCCGCCAGCGTACACCGTTAGCGCAGGCGGGGGCACCATTACATTATCTATACATACAAATAAAATTGGAGTGTCTGTTTGTAATGTTATGTGTTATGTTTGTATCAGTCTGAGTATTTTCTATGTACATTATGTATATATTTACAAAAAAAAAATCTAAGTATTTATATCAGTCGTCTGTCCTATAACACAAGCTTTAGCTAGCTTAACTTGGAACTAGATGGCGCTGTGTGAATTGACCTGTGGTTATTATTATTGTTTTTTATCTGTCTGTCTGTTTGTGCTGGCTAATCTACGAAATAATCAAGACGCAAGTTCTGCTGCCTTCATCTCTAACTACTTTCTGCTCTTACCTGGCGGTACTCAGGCACACCTCCGAGTCTCTCTCAGAGAGGTTGACGCTGGTGTCGCAGTGGTTGTCTGGATGCTGCGGCGGTGACACTTCCACTCGAGGCTGCTCCATCCTGATAAGGAAATCAAAAACATATTTTTTTAGCTGTTCCTACTACTACGTCCGCGTGGGAAATGACTTAATTTTTCTAAAATTAAGGAATTTTTCAAAAGTAAAAGTAGTCTGAGTCAGTAAACCGTCATAATCGGTCCAGCCATTTTAGAGTTTGTTCCGGCTGAACAAATGGACAGACAGATAAAATATGTAAAAAATGTTATTTTGGTGTATGTACCGTATTTATATTCACATGCATGTAGTAAAAAACTGTTATTACAATATTACAAATAGACACTCCAATTTTATTTATACGTTATTATTTATTACTGTTTTTTAATCCCGGATACAAATATAAAATAATATTATTTATCAAGTAATTTTATTTGATAGTGTGCTACATGTCTTATTAGTGACGCGTACATTCCACGCGGAGTCGTAACGTGGACTGACTTTACACTCAACTTAAATCTATGTTATCTGGAGAGGTACTAATGGAAGGGTGCCGAGTGTTGACAGAAATATATTTTTTCTTTTTTAAGTATATCATCCTGAATATCAATTTCCATGCTTGTTACTGACTTACAAACTAATTATTTATTACATATATCATCATTATATAGTACAAAATAAAGTCGCTGTCTGTCCGTCTATGTATGCTTAAATCTTTAAAACTACGCAAGGGATTTTGAAGCGGTTTTTTTTAATAGATAGAGTGATTCAAGAGGAAGGTTTATATGTGTAATACTTGTGTGTACATGTATGATATATATAAATAGCGACTTTGTTTTATACTATGTAATGATTAATAAAATATCACATCAGTTGGTCACCTGTTCGCGTCGCTGGTATCCGTGGTGTCATCAGGCAGTTCCCTCGGCTCCACGCGCTCCTGAGGAGTCGGCAGCTCCGCCGGACTCAGAGCTGATGATGTGTCATTCTGCAACATTCCCACAGACCACATGTAGCTGGTATGCATTAGAATAGTTAATACTACACTGGCTGTAAAAACTACGTATCCATACCTGCTCAGTGCGTGACCTGTCCGCGTCGTTGTCCAGCTCCCCGGCAGGCTGGGTCGTAGATTCACACTCGTCTGTGGACAAAAAAGAAAATTTCTTAAATTCAAAAGTATTAATTCTTATATGATTTTATTCACATTTTTTTATTTAGGGTTTTGGGCTATTGTCAGGTGCTTAGACCTGTAGCACTGCGACCTACATAGATCTATTGTGCTCGCCCTTTTTCAAGGTTCGCTACGTAGGGCCATTAGGGACAATTAAAGGATATTCTTAGGTGCGATGGGTTCGAATCCAGTCCACCGCGACTTTATTTTATACTATGATAGTGGTAGGCATACGGCCCATCTGATGGTAAACGGTTACTGTGGCCTACGGACGCCTGAGACACCAGGGGTGTCACGTGTGCGTTGCTGATAGCGATAACCCATACTAGTAAGGGCCCATCTCTGCGGGTTCCCTATGCGGTACCTGCTACTTCTCCCTTCTTCCCTAGGGATTAATAAATGTAAAATTCACCTGATGTTTCATCTTCAGAGACAACCCTATCTCTTTCTCCTCTAGAGTAAACTGGACTTGCCGAAACCCAAAGGCTCCTCCATCCTCAGGTACAGCTATGCCCATTTCTTCCCTGGGGAATACTGGGTGGGGGACCTGCTTTAACTCGCCTGATCCTCCATCTTCAGGAACAGCCCTGCCCATTCCTTCCCCTGGGGAGTCGTGAGTCGGACAACCGTAACTAACCTCCATATATACTTCCCTGGTGAACTGTGTTGGGGACCTGCTGTAACTCACCCGATCCTTCCTCCTCGGGTATGGCCCTGGCGTGTTTGTCCGCCGCCCGGCGCCGCACCAGCTCCGCTATGACGCCGTGCAGCTCCGCCAGCCGGGCGTCGTGGGCGCGCGCCGCCGCCGCCGCCCGCTGCCGCTCGCTGGCGAGCGCCCGAGCGAGGGCGTCACGCTCAGCGCGAACACTTGTTAAGTCTTCTCGTCCGCTGCTCTGGGTTGCGACCTGGAAAATGAGTATTGCTCTTAGACAAAAGATTTTTAAGGTAATTTTGGTGTATTAAACAAAATACACCAAATGTAAGCGGAGTTGAGCGGAGTGTGTTTATTCTTAAAAACTCCAGCTTGACCGATCGGAATTTTTTTGAGTAAACGATAATGAGGTACAAGGTGAAAGAGGATTGTTAATAATGGGGTCTAGTGTCCCTATTGCTGGCAATGTACCATGACTACCTACACGCGCTTCCCCTGAAAACCTGGTTAATTTCTGGTTATTTAATCACGATGGGCAAACTGACCTTAGCTCATGCTTATCTTATCATCCACCACTGGTGCCCCACCTGCGTAAACCGTTAGCGTAGGCGGGTACACCATTACATTATCCATTACCACTTTGTACAGTCCATCTGTGGCAGTTCCATCATCATCCAACCTACCAATATCCCATTCTGGCCTGGCATAGGCGGAGCAGTCACTGGCCTCAAACTCGAGTATCTCCACGAAGACTCCCTCGACATCTCCTCATCTGGTACATTTGGACAGCACAAATACCAGCTCCTACTCCTTCTAACTCCCGTCGTCTCCAACTGCGTCAACGGCAGTCTTCCAACCACCTCCAATTCTGCAAGCAGAGGTTCCTTCTCCTTCGGCTCCGGCATTGGAAAGGTCCCAGCTGTGGAGTAGGTCTCTCCAGGTTTTCTAGCATCAGGCGTGGTATACTCTGGGAGACTAAACTGCCGGACCCTATCCCGGAACGGGGGCACTTCCCTGACCGCTCCATCGTTGAAGACCTCGTTGGATTCTACGTACTCGCTCAATTCATCAGGGTTTTGGGGTTTGGGGGAGTCCTGGCTGATGGGCTCATGCTTCTTCAGGCGCTCCAAGTCCGCGTAATAGTAGGCTGTGGATCGGGGCGGTTCCCCCGGCACGGATCGTATTGACGCCAGGGTTGTGGTCCTCATACGACACAAGTGATATTTTCATAGTACGGTAGGACACTAGCTTTGTATTATCTATATTTGATGTGGTAATATGATCTTTATTGATACAGTCATAAGGATGCTATCTAGATTTGATATGGTAATATGATCTTTATTGATTTTAAAATAGAACGGTAGGGAAAAATGATTATAATTATTACATAGTATAAAACAAAGTCAGTGTCGCTGTCTGTCCGTCCCTATGTATGCCTAAATCTTTAAAGCTACGCAATGGATTTTGAAGCGGTTTTTTTTTTAAATAGAGTTATTCAAGAGGAAGGTTTATATATATAATACATGTACACCCGTGCGAGGCCGGGGTGAGTAGCTAGTTTGAACATACAATATTCTCGTGTCGCGGTTTTTCCAATATGTATATTGGACGGCAGGGAAAAAATAAAATTATAATGTAAAAATTTGACGTTCATAAGCGGCTGAAATGTCCTACATGAATAAATGATTTTTGAATTTTTAATATTCGTTCAATGTATTCAGCCTGCTAGCAGGCGTGCAAAATTAATATTACATTATTACTTTTATAAATTGAATTAATTTTTAAAATATTTCTAATAATTAAATTGAATTGTTTACATATTAAAACATGTCAAAACTAACAATATTTTACATGTCCAAAAATCCTTAATACTATAAAAACAATTTTCTAATAACCAATTATAAAGTCTAGATTTAAAAAGTCTAAAATTTTCCATTTTTATATCAGTTGGTAATTTATTGTAATGTTTTTTATCTCAGTTGGTAATTTATTGTAATTTTTTTTATGTCAGTTGGTAATTTAATGTAAATTTTTTTGTCAGTTGGTTATTTATTGTAATTTTTTTATGAGAGTTGGTAATTTATTGTAATTTTTTTTATGTCAGTTGGTAATTTATATTAATTTTTTTTAATCATCATGTAACTATTTCTTTCAGATTGCACTTCTATATATTGGTTTTAATAATCGTGTTGGGTCTCTTGGTCTGAGTACTCCTCCGATACGGCTTTACCGATTTTTATGAAATTTTATATGCATTAAGTAGGTCTGTAATCAGTTACTATCTATATTTCAATTATAAGGGTGACCCACTCGTCATATTAATATTTTTTTGAAAAAGTTATTTCTTTTTTTTAAGTTATGACTCGGATTGAAAAGTACATACAACCCTAACTTTCACCCTTCTATCACCAACCCCTATTTTTTATTAGCGATTTTTATTTATATGGCATAACAACATTTGCAGCGTTAACTATATATCTATACATATAAATAAAATTGTAGTGTCTGTTTGTAATATTGAAATAACCGTTTTTTACTACATGCATATGAATATAAATACGGTACATACACCAAAATAACATTTTTTTTTAATTTTGTCTGTCTGTCTGTTCGTTCCAGCTAATCTCTGAAATGGCTGGAGCGATTTTGACGGGACTTTTATTGGCAGGTAGCTGATGTAATAAGAAGTAACTTAGGCTACTTTTATTTTAGAAAAATAAAGTTAAATTCCACGCGGACGAAGTTGCGGGAACAGGTAGTTAATAAATGTGATTAATTAAAAAAAATGTCATTTAAAAAGGTTAATACCCACTGATGATAATTGTGTGCTGTTTTTGAACCTTAAAAAATGTTTTCATTAGCCACTACCGCCGTGTATGGGCAATTAATTTTGACCTTTATTTCAAAGGTCGTAAAGTCGTAATTAACGCTGGTGCTTTATGGAGCCGGTCGCGTAATTAGGTCGGCTAGGGTTGCCACTTGAAAAAAATAAAAAACCTTAACGGTTTAGCACATTGCTTTAGTGTCGATAGTCGCATGTTCGATTCCTCGCACGGTGCAAACATTTATATTAATGACTATGACTATGATTGTTAGTATCGGTCTGGGTGTTTTATATGTATATTATGTATGTATGGAAACAGAAAAAATGTATGTATGTATATGTTGTCTATAACCCATAACACAAGCTCTGCTTAGCTTAGAACTAGATGGCGCTGTGTTAATTGTGCTAGGTTATTTTTATTATTTTCTTTAATTTTTGTTGAAATTAAATGAAAATTCTTTACTGTTCTCTTCACGGTATACAAACAAACAATTATATTGTTAGCTTCAATACATAAAGAAATATAAATAATCTTTATTCAAATAAACTTAATTTAAGCACTTTTGAATAGTCATAACAATTTGTTTTTTATCTACCACTGTAAAAAGTTGTGTGTTGCTCTCTTAAATAAATATTGATTTAATTATATTTAATTAACAACAAGGATTAGGCATGCGACAATCAACATAGAAACCGCTGCGCACTTAGTCGCTAGAACACTTAGTTGACTACTTACATTTCAAATTTGGAACCATAGTGAGTCACGTGATGTTGGTGACGTCACGAATTTATGTGGAGTGTAATTTGAAAAAGGAATAATATAAAAGTACTGCTGCATCGACGTATCATTTCTGAAACTTCCCAATAATCCATACTCACGAACTACTTACATTTCAAATTTGAAACCATAGTGAGTCACGTGATGTTGGTGACGTCACGAATTTATGTGGAGTGTAATTTGAAAAAGGAATAATATAAAAGTACTGCTGCATCGACGTATCATTTCTGAAACTTCCCAATAATCCATACTCACGAACTACTTACATTTCAAATTTGGAACCATAGTGAGTCACGTGACGTTGGTGACGTCACGAATTTATGTGGAGTGTAATTTGAAAAAGGAATAAAATAAAAGTACTGCTGCATCGACGTATCATTTCTGAAACTTCCCAATAATCCATACTCACGAACTACTTACATTTCAAATTTGGAACCATAGTGAGTCACGTGATGGTGACGTCACAATATGCTACCACCAATGGTAATAGGTATAAAGAGGCCGGGAACAAGGAGGGAGCGGGCTGCTCTCACTCTGTTCGAGGCGCCCGAGACAACCACACGTGAATGTACAGCGACGCAATTTATGTCTATATGTAGGAGTGTAATTTAAAAAAGCTCTAAAATCATTTCTAAAACTTGGCAATATTAATAACTTGGAATTTAGCGGTTTAGCACACCGATTTACTTGCGATGTCGCGAGTTCGATTCTTCGCACGGTGCAAATTTATATTCATGAGCATGAGGGTTGGTATCGGTCTGGGTGTTTTCTCATGTTGAAACACCAATTTCAAACTGCGACAGCCCTACTCACCTTCAGAGCGCCAAGGAAACAAAAACGTCTGGCGACGCTTAAGTTTTTGTTACTCACGAACTTAGCTTTTCTTTTATCAACGCGACTGCCAAAACTTATCCTTAATTGTTTTTTTTATACTGTGGCAAACATACGGCCCACCTGATGGTTAACTGTTACCGTAGCCTATGGACGCTTGGGACAGCAGGGGTGTCACGCGTTGTAGGTAATAATAATAATAATCTCAGGACAATTCACACAGCGCCATGTAGCCCAAGTTAAGCTAGCTAGCTTTTTAGAGCTTTCGCTCGCGTTAATTTATGCCTTTAGGGGTGGAATTTATCAAAATCCTTTCTTAGGGGATGCCTACGTCATAGTAGCTTTATGCATGCAAAGTCACAGCCCGATCGGTTTAAAATTGACAAAGTTTCATACAAACTTTCACCCCCTATTTTATCCCCTTGGGGGTAGAATTAATCAAAATCCTTTCTTAGCGGATGCCTACGTCATAACATCTACCTGCATGCCAAATTTCAGCCCGATCCGTCCAGTGGTTTGGGCTGTGCGTTCATAGATCACTATGTGAGTTATATATGTAGATTTAAATCATTTTTCAGGCAGATTTATACATACAAACAATCATACTCGTGAATATATATTATTTACTACTAACAAGTTACAATTTCAATAAAAAAACATTCTAAACTCGCTTAATATATCACACGAAAGAATCACACGGGACTCATTTAGTACTATGAAAACACAATACGACAGTTTGTTTGTTCGTACACAAGTATTCTTCCATTCAGTCCACTTTACTTGTATGTATAGGTCTATAATGTGGACCATTAGAAAGATCGACAGAATTACTATTACACTAGCTGTGACCCCGACTTCGTCCGCGTGGAATTAACTTTATTTTTCTAAATTAAAACTAGTCTAAGTTACTCCTTATTACATCAGCTACCTGCCAAAAAAAGTCCCGTCAAAATCCGTCCAGTCATTTCAGAGATTAGCCGGAACAAACAGACAGACAGACAAAAATTGTAATAAATATCATTTTCTTGTATGTACCGTATTTATATTCATATGTATGTAGTAAAAAACGGTTATTTCAATATTACAAATAGACACTACAATTTTATTTATATGTATAGATGTATAGCAGCGGCGTGTGCCACAAACGGCACTGAACATTGACCCTACGTGTGCTGCCACTGGTAACCGCGACGATGATGGCTTCGTCGTGGTACAAGAGGCGCACAAGCAAGGTCAATAGGAATCATTGTGGCACTGCACTCACTGGGCCCAACTTTCTGCTGCGTGCTGCTACACCGACCACGACAATGTACCTGTCCCGTCTACATTACGCCACTAAGGAGCAGGACATTGTAGATTATATTCGTACCAAGAGTAACCTGACATTGAGGGTGACGCAGCTGAAGTCGAGTCACAACGCGAGTTTCAAAGCGTTCGTGGCCCTGGTCCCCACCGACTTGCTGCCCACCTTCATGAAAGAGGACTACTGGCCGGAAGGTGTGGTGTATCGGAGCTACCGTGGCAGATTGCCGTCTTCAGTGCCGTGATCACACAGACAATATTATTGTATTAGTTTTTAAATATTATATTATATGTATGTTAGTGTATAAGGTATTTATGACAGCCTCGGTGCTCTAGTGGTTTAGCACACCGCTTTACTATCCGATGGTCGTGGGTTCGATTCCTCGCACGGTACAAACATTTGTATTCATGAGTATGTCTGTTTGTATCGGTCTGGGTGTTTTCTATGTATAATATGTATTTATTTACAAAAAAAAATGTATTCATGTATTTATATCAGTTGGCTAGTACCCATAACACAAGCTCTGCTTAGTTTGGGACTAGATGGCGCTGTGTTAATTGTCCTGAAATATTATTA